CAATCCAAATTTGTGGCGCAATTATCTTTTACTTTTTGTGTCAAGCAAAGGGATTTGTCAATCCAAAGCTAGCGGTCACGGAGGCCAAGACTGCAGCTTTTAATCATTTGTACGAGAAACTCGAGGGCCGAGGTGGGGATAAGAGGTTGTCCAGATTAGCCAAGGCTCGATAAAAGAAGGCGCATGACTTGGATCAAGTGAAGTGCATCAAGGAAGAAGAAGGTAGAGTTTTGTTGGATGAGGGGCTTATCCATCGGAGATGGCAGACGATCTATAGTCTCTTGAACGAGGAGGGGGATAGGAGTATTGTATTGGGTGATTTGGAACTCCCAGGGAGTCGTTGTGACTTTGGGTATTGTAGGCGGATTAGAGTTGATGAAGTTGAGGGGGCTATGCGTAAGATGAGCAGGGGCACAACAACCGGGCCGGATGAAATCCCGGGGGAGTTTTGGAAGAGCGCGGGCAAGGCAGGCTTGGAGTGGCTCACTAGGTTATTTAATGTCATTTTTAGAACGAAGAAGATGCTCGAAGAGTGGAGGTGGAGCACAATGGTTCCTGTATACAAGAACAAGGGTGATATCCAAAATTGTAATAACTATTGGGGTATTAAGCTGCTTAGCCATACTATGAAAGTCTGGGAGAGAGTAGTAGAGCTAAGGGTGAGGAGGAGTGTGTCTATTTCCGAGAACCAGTTCGGGTTTATGCTGGGGCGTTCGACTACAGAAGCCATCCACCTTGTTAGGAGATTGATGGATCAGTATAGGGAGATAAAGAATGACTTGCATATGGTGTTCATCGACTTAGAAAAAACGTACGATAAAGTTCCGAGGGAGGTTTTGTGGAGATGTTTGGAGGCAAGAGGTGTACCGGTTGTCTACGTTAGGTTGATTAAGAACATGTATGATGGAGTAAAGACTCGAGTGAGGACGGTGGGTGGGGACTCGGACCAGTTTCTAGTTATGATGGGGTTGCATCAGGAGTCGACACTCAGCCATTTTTTGTTTGCTCTGGTGATGACGTACTGACGCGCCACATCTAAGGGGAGGTGCCGTGGTGCATGGTATTTGCAGCTGATATTGTATTGATTGACGAGGTGCGAGACGGGGTGAACGCGCAATTAGAGGTATGGAGGCAGACCCTAGAATCTAAAGGTTTCAAGTTGAGCAGGACCATGATAGAATACTTGGAGTGTAAGTTCAGTGGGGAGACTCAAGGAGGGGAAGGAAAGGTGAGGCTGGACTCGTAGGTCATCCTTATGAGGGAATTTTAAGTACCTTGGGTCTATTATTCAGGAGGATGGGGAGATTGATGAAAATGTTACCCATCGTATTAGGGCAGTATGGATGAAATAGAGACTCGCTTCGGCTGTTTTGTGTGACAAGAAGGTGCCACCGAAACTTAAGGGTAAGTTCTATATAGTGGTGGTCAAACCAACGATGTTATATGGGGCTTAATGTTGGCCAGTCAAGATCGCTCATGTCCAGAAGATGAAGGTAGCAGAGATGAGGATATTGAGATGAATGTGCGGACACACCAGGTTAGATATGATCATAAATGAGGTTATTCGTGACAAGGTGGTGTGGCCCCTATTGAGGACAAGATGCGGGAAACGCGACTTAGGTGGTTTGGTCATGTGAGGAGGAGGAGCACAGACGCCCCGATGAGGAGGTGTGAGAAGTTGACATTGGAGGGCCTACAGAGAGGTAGAGGTAGGCCAAAGAAGAGGTGGGGAGAGGTGATTAGGCAAGACATGACATAGCTTCAGCTAATAGAGGATATGAACCTTGATAGGAAGGTATGGAGGTCGATGATTAAGGTAGTAGAGTAGGTAGTATAGAGTGTTCATAACAGTAGTATTGGCACGCAGTCTCGCTTCCTGTTGGTAGTAGGTTTTTATGTCCAACCGTTGTTTTCTTTCATTGTTGATCACCTTATTGTTTTGTTGTTTTATTCTACTTTTATATGGCTTTTTGGTACTGTCCCTTCTTATCTATATTTTCATTAATGTAGTGCTTATACTTTCTTGAGCCTAGGATCTATTGGAAACAACCTCTCTATCCTCACAAGGTAGGGGCAAGGTCTACGTACACACTACCCTCCCTAGATCCCACGGTGTTGGATAATGCTGGGTATGTTGTTGTTGTTGCTTGTGTCAAGCTTAGGCACCACCAAATATAATAATAATAATAACAACAATATGACATGGGTGGATGCGCACTCACATTTATTTAAATCTTGGCGGAAAACTTTTATACAAATTATATAAAAATAAAAATGGTTTGAATTAGCCAATATTTTCTATGACAAATGATACTTTGAAGGATAATCTATTTGGCGTCAATAATTTACGTCCATGTTTGTAGTTAGACTTAGAAGTTAGAACACGACAGGAAATAAAACTTTTAGTGGCGACATTCATGGCAAACCCTTTTGGTCGCCAACAAAGGTTATAGGTCGTTTCAGTAGCGACCTAGCGACCGTAAAGTATTCACTGACAACTTTTGGTGGCAACATCTAATAGTCGCCACTAAAGGTACATCTACAATCCGTTCTGGCCCAATTTTTTACTTTCTTCATCAAGCTTAGTTGCCTCAAAAGCTAGTTTTCGGTGACTATATTCCTAGCAACCCCTTTTGGTCACCACCAAAAGGTACTGCTATATCTCTAACTAAAATCTATTTTGTAGTGCAATTTTTAGTTTTTGTGTCAAATTTAGTCGCTACAAAAGCTAATAATAATAACAGGGCAGATGCATCACTCATATTGGCCCAAATCTTGGCGGAAAATCCATGTACAAGCATGGTCTATAAGCTAAGTAATTAGCACTTTCTTTTTCTTCTTTACATCAGATCCTCTCATCACTGAAATAATCTTGATAGCTTATAAACTCTCTTTGTTAAATTCTTTGTATTAGTTTAGCTTTAGTTCATAATTCTTTTGGTTACTTTTTTGTTTGTAAATAACAACTTTGTTATCTCTAAACAAGATTTTAATTTTGGTTATAGATTTCAATATATTTCAAAAAATGTTAAATAAAACCTGTTAATAAATCCTTAAAATTTTAAAGCAAAATTCGTTGATTTTAGGTAGATAAAGTATTCTGAGAAAAAATTTAAATAGATTTTCCCAAAGTGTTAATGAATAAATAAATAACACCAACTTAAAAAAAAGTAATGACTTTATTTTTGAGGTAGCGAATAAATAAGAAGAAGAGGAAAAACATAATATAAAAAAAAAAAAAACTAGTTAGAATCTTGATTTTCTTTCAAGCTTCCTAAAATGTGCAAATTATTGTTTAAAAAAAAAAAGAAACCCTATATACACTACAAGTTTTATGGAAAGTTCCCTTTTTCTTAATTTCTCTGAAATTTCCTTATAAAAGTTTCCATATTTGTAAGAGAACGAAACCAATTAGAATTTGGGTTTATATTAATAATAACTTTCCATAAATTGCCTTTTGTATGGCGGTGCGTTTGCTTCTTTGTTGCTTATATATACATAGCTAAAACCCTAAAACGTAATGTTAATATCATTATATGCATAGTGGGGAAAAGACTTTGACAAGCATTCTGCTGCTCCTTAGTATTATATTCTACTATGATTTGTTAATTATTAATGAGCAGCAGTGTGTTTGTCAATGCCTTTTCTTCCCACTATTTTCACCAACATTATATTATATGCTTTACTTATAACACCATACATGAACTCATGAACGTATTCTTAATCCTTCTGTTCTTTTATTTCGATTTTTGATATTTGACTCTTCATATATTAGGAGTCGAGCCTTAGAACAACGGTAAAGTTCTCCATTTGACCTGTAGGCAAGGGCGAATGTAGCTCTATAACATCGAGTTCAATTGAACACATATTTTGACACGGGGCATAAATTTATGTAAAAAACTCACTAAAATCGCAATAAATTATAGATATGAACTCATAACTTTAGGATATAATTGGTTCAATACTAAGAACCTTAAAGGTTGAATCCATAGAACTTAAATCCTAGATCCGCCTCTGCCTATAGGTCATAGGTTCGAGCCGTGAAAACAATCATTAATACTTATATTAAGATATATTGTCTACATCTCACCCCTTGGGGTGCGTTACAAGGACCCTGCGGGATACTTTGTGTACCGTACTGTTTTTTCTTTGCCTCTTCGTATCTTAGATTATGTCTTTGAATGTTGCTTTTGAAATTTAGAACCAGTTTTTAGCTTCTTGTTCTTCAATTGATCATGTTCTTGCCTTTTTCTTTTAATTTACCCTTATGGAGACGAGAGAAAATTATAGGGAAAATCTTGTGTTTCCAATTAACTTCAAGGTTACGTCCTCTTTTCTTTTTCTTTTTTTATCATAACTAAATAAGTAATCCAAATTTTAGTGCTCAGTTCTTTCTTTATATGAAGTTTTTCATTCTTTAGTGGCTGTTTGTTTTGAGCAGTATATTCAATCTTGATTACTTAGGTGTTGTCAAAACTTAGAAGGTTAAAAATTAGGTTAAACGAGATGGTATGTTTACTTTTTTCCTATCCTTTGTTTCTTGATCCTTTAGCCGTTTTTCATTTTTTTTTGTATAATATTAGCCTGAGAAAATTTAAATAATTAACTAGCTATTCATATAATCTACCCTAATTTGTCCCAAGACAACTAATTAATTTAGGAATATTTAGGTGACATATTAATTAGATTACACGATTTGGGATAATGTTACCACATACAGAAGTAAATTGCTAAAATGACCAATTTTTAAGAAGAATAAACTCAAATAGCCGCCTACCCAATAGCTTAAATTAAAAAATAGTGAATAAATATATAATATAAGCATAACCCTTATATATATAGCCGTGTATAATCTATATATACCGTCGTCTATAGCAAAAATATAAATAATAAATCCAACTGGATATTTGTGTAAATGTCTCATTTTTAACACAAATATAATGATTTATTTAGCATACATAACGTGCTTAATTAGTAATTATTCAACTTTGATTCACAAGTACAATATCTACATAATTGAAGAACAATTACAAATCCTACATCAACTTTATAATTTTTGTATCATCTTAAAGTACTAATCTTCTAAATTAAGTCTTCTTTTTTAAATCATTGCGATGATGTGATCGGGACCAGGTTGCGAACGTCTCGACTAATTCCACCCGATAACTTTGTGCACCAAGACTTGGATATCTTCTCAATTAAGCTTGAAGAAAGCCATTATAGGATTATATACAACTTGTTTAGCATTCATACCAAAAACAAAATCAGCATGTGCATAATCTTCTCTATATTGCAACACAAGTTTGTCTGGATCATGATTTTGCAACTTATCTAATAGAGTTTGCACATCAGTCACATCAGAAAGATAATCTGCCCCTCCATAGCCTAAGAAAAGAGGTATATCATTTGGGATATTTGCCATTATATATTTTGGAGGTGTTGGCTGACCATAGTGTTTGTTGTTTTCTTCATCATTTCCATAGTCATATTTTTCTATGGTCCCTTTTCTTGTCACTGTCCAAAAAATCATATAAATTGCAACTCCATTGAGAAATTAAGAAAAAAGAGTACTCAAATGTGTTTGGTATGACAAAAGTCATTTTTCATATATAAAAAATGTTTCTCTGAAAAATGGATCAATATTAGTCCACTGTTTAATTGATGAGCGAAAAGTATATTTTTCCGAGAAAAGATATGTATTCAAGATTAGTAGTATTAGCAATCGGAGAATTTTTTTAATGAAATTTGGGTAGTAAGGATTAATAATAATGTCTAAGTTGTTAGTTGTAGTAAGTAATATGAAGTTAAAATTAACGGAAAGGACTATATTTACCCTTCTACTATCGAAAATAAGTTATATTTGTCCTCTGTTTCAGTTCGTTAATAAATCTACTCTTACCGCTATACTTTAGGTTTGTTTTTACCCCTCATCTGTTAGGGGTCGTTTGGTAGGATATATAAGAATAGTGCGGAATAAGGTGTATTAGTAATGCAATGATTAGTAATGCATGGGTTAGTAATGCAAGCATTAGTTATGCAGATATTATTTCTTATCTATTGTTTGGTGTGGTGTATTAAAAATTATAATGCATTGTAGAATTTTAAAGAAAAATAGATGTTTACAAAAATGACCTCCATATTCTCTATCTTTAAGGGACTTTAAGGACAATTTAGTCTTTAACTATACTAATGCATGCATTAATAGCATTGGTATTACTAATGTCATAGTTTTGTATGCATTACTTATACATAGGATAATACCAAGTATGGTGTATAACTAATATAAGTATTAGTTATACAAAGTTTGAAAAAATGTACCAAACAAGATATTAGTAATGCACAGAGTTAATGCTTGCATTATTTTTTCTAATACCTCATACCAAACGACCCCTTAGTTCTTCCATCGCAGCCGGAAAAGTCCACGTGGGCATGTTGTTATTGGACGAAAAGATCCAACCCAGTCGCTAATGAATAACCTGATCCAACTACCTAACCTAACCCCTATCGACCTAAAACCTCTAAAATTAAATCCCTAAATTAAATCCTCCTTCTTTAATTTCTTCCTCTAGCTGTAAGAAAAACAATATTGGTCCATACGTGAAAGAAGTCATTTTTCTCTCAGAAAATATTATTATTTGGTAGCTAAACGCAAGAAAACAGTTTCCTTAGAAAACTTATTTTTCTAAAAATGACTTTCGTCGTACCAAACACAAATTTAAAAATTATATGTATTTCTTTTACATTGCATTTGCAAACTTACTTTGGGCAATATGGACCATGTTTTTTGTTGCTGTTGCCTGTGGTTCATGCTCAAGAAAAATATCAGTTCTTGAAGAGTTCACACAGCAATTTGGACCTATTATTGTCACAATAGTAAAGATTAAAAAAAATCAAATAAAATGGAAAAGAATGAATTGGTGAAGAGTTGAAATACCAGTGAAAGAAGACATCAAGTCACTGCAATTGTTGCCTGGATCTTGGCAGATTTTTTGCAAAAGTTTGACAACAGCATCTCTATTTAACTCAGCCATAAGTGCGAAATTTCAAATTAATTTAACAAACATGAAGTGTCTTTTGATGTGAGATAAATAACTACATAAAAGAAGCCATAACAAGGGTTCTTTATTTGTTTATTTAAAGTGCCACATGAATATTATATAAGGTAAGTTAAGAACGCGGTTATATAATATGTGTTTTTCATAGCAAGATTTTGGTATTTTTGGGCATTTTTTTAATATGCTATATAAGCTAGCATTGAGTTATTTTTCCATTTCAAGATTTAGTTTTATGACTTTTGTGTAATTTAAAGTCTGGATGATGATTCCAACCCCGATATGTATGTTACGAGAACCTCATGATCCTTTCGTGTGGAAGGGAAGAAAGAAAAAAGGCGAATACGAATACTAAAAAGCGGTTCATGGGAATCCCAAAAAAAGGGGGATAGAGAGCGCGAAATAAGCTTCCAAGAATATAAAATAATTTCTACCTATATATTCTATGGCAACAGATATAAAGTATGTTCGTTAACGTTTCAAACCCAGGAACATTTCCATTGCCAATAATCTTCAAAAAAAGATTACCATGATTTCAGAACGTCCCAAAGAAGAGTTGAGGCATGAAACTAAACTTATCTATGATTGCTTGTTTTCTTAAATAAAAATAAAAAGTAAAAAAACACTAATGAAATGGGTGGAATATTTTACCCTCTTGGATCAAATTCATGGATTCCCAACCAATACAAACCCTGTAAAAAATATAAAAAATGAAATGTGATCCAACTTTATTGAAATGAATCCAAAAACACACAGAATTGGAAGAAGAAAAATTAGCTCTTTACTTCAGCTATAAAATCTTTAGAAGCACTTTTTGCAAGAGGAGATCTCACTTGCCCCAAATAAGCAATAGGACTTAACAAAGCTGCTGATCTCAACATGTCTACCAACTTATTTTGTGAAATTGCAGCCAATGCAATTAGGGTCCCCTGCCACCAACAACAAAAAAATCCAATTTAGTTATTTCTTAAATATATTACTTATGTGTTTACATTTTGAGAAGGTTAAATTCATCGATGATCATTAAATCATCTGCCTATCGCACCAAAGTCATAAAACTATTTTTTGTTAATTAAAAATAATTTAATTTTTTTCTACATTATTCGAAAAATCAAATGCCTAGAAAATCCATCGGCAGAAACAACAAATCCAAATAGCATGCCACTTTTGCTGATTTGGCATACATATTTGGATTTTCGAGTGACAAAAGTTAGTTTTTGTTAATTAAAAATAACTTAATTTTGTAAATTAAAAATAATTTAAATTTTTTCTACATTATTCGAAAAATTAAATGCCTAGAAAATCCAGCAGAAGACACAAGAAATCCAAATAGCATGCCACTTTTGCTGATTTGGCATGCATATGGAGAAGTCTGGTTTGGTTAGCAATGGTTGAATCGGCATAATGATGGCAATGATCAGCTCCTTCAGTGTGTCAGGTTATTCAGATGATTTGTGACGGTACGTGCGAGGTTTGACGGTTGCTGTAATTGATCTTATTTGGAGGCTTTCAAGTATTATGGCATGTTATGTGCAGATGGATCGCGGAAGGGTTATGGTGGTTTAGACCACTACTTGAGGTTGGTATTTTCTGCAGATATGAGGATTCAGTCGCGTGTTGAGATGGTTCTCTTGGAATGAGTTAAGTAAAATGTTTCTATGTGGTGAAGTGTTTACCCTATTAGTAGTTCAGAAGTTAAGATGAAATTCTTGTACTCTTGCGATTTGGCATGATTAAGTGCAGTGATCGGCATGGGATTCGAAAGTTGAGGATCAAGGTTGCAGTTTGGTGTCGATAAGAATGTCAAGAGCTCGGATGAGCGGGAAAGGATTTAGATGGTTAGAGTAAGCTGGTATTGTCTTTGGCGTCACCTGAGATCGGTGTCTTATGTAAAAGGCTTAGCATACTGATTGAGGATTCTCGATTTGATTCACAGCATTAGTGTGGCCAGTGGTATGGGCGTGCAGACTTGTTACCCGGTGTGGAAAGTCGTGGGAGCGTGTCCCACGGGAAGATTGTATAAGTGTGACATGTAGTCACTTGATTGATCGAATATTGGAACCAAGTATGGAGATTGCGGCACTATTTTTCATGTGAGAATTTATACCTGGAGGGTGCTCGGTTCATTTGGTTGTGGACAGTGGAAGTTTGTTCCGGTTATGATGGTTGTTCTCATGTGTTATGGGAAAAAGGGCTATTATGGATCCTTGAAAGGTTATTAGCCTAGTACGGAGCGATCAGAATCGGCTTGAGGTCTGTGGATGGATTTAAAAGTGAATATGGGCTCTATGTCAGGTCGGATGTGTTCATTTCGGCATAGCGCTCCTTATGGAGGAGTATTCGGACGTTGAATGTTATTTCGTCGTCGACTAATTCATGTAATACTATATCGTGCCGTGTGAGTTGTGGAATGGCTTGATAAATTTTCTATGTGTTGAGGTTCCGCGTAGCGATGGTGTTATATGAGCGGGATGGCTCTCGAGATTCAGATCATATATCGTACCTTAGTTGTGCTTGAGTTTTGTAGCGTATGGCGCTATCTGTCTCCCCAGGGATGGTATTATGCACTTAGCGTGCTTGTGGCCGATATTTAGGTATTTTGTAAAAATGAGCATTCTAGCTCGATAAGTATCTCCTTATATAGATTTTATGTTTGGATCGGGTTGAACGCTGCAACAGTGTGATGTGGAGGACAGTTCTCTATATCTATTCTTGTGTGTTTTGGTTTCTCATTTTCTGGAGAAGGTTCATAACGCCTTTTCGGTTGTTTAATTAGTTACGTGGGTTGAGTAGTTCTTTCCAGAGTTCGTTTTCCTTATGTATCACATTCAAGTTTGTAGTTTGTCGGCACATTGTGGCATCGTATGAGATTTTGGTAGAGTTTGAGGTGGCTTATTGCCTGGGTAGCTTATACTGTGAAAGACGGGATTACTGGACCTGGGGTCAGTATGATCAGATCGGTATGAGGCATAGTTAAAGAGTAAAGTATCGGTATTCAGTCCAGAATGAGGTAATGGTTCTTGTCAAGGGGAGAAACTCAATGAATGGTTGACTCGACAGTTGGCTATAAATTTCTACGCATCGTTTTCGTTGCGGCAGCATTACAAGAGTTGGAGCAGGACATGTGTGTGACATGAGGTGTGTTGTGGACATCAGGTTCGTGGAATTTCGGCTATTGTTATCAGAGGATGTTATCATGATCATGTGAATTATGCGGTGCATGGTGTGAATTCAGCAAAGGTATGCAGTCATGTTTTGGTACATCGCGTGGTGATTGATACGGTGATCGTACGTTGGAAACAGGCCTGGCAGAAGATTCCCGATGTTGGAATTTGGCTCTAAGGCTAGTTTGACTAAAAACAAGGAGAATCTTCATATTTACTCGAGCCAGTGTGCTCAACTGAGTTGTGGTAGCACGGGTAGGTGCACGAGGTGTTAAGCAGTGATTTCAGACAACTCCAGAGCAGTTCTTAGCACGTTCGAGGACGAATGTATGTTTAAGCGGGAGAGAATGTAACGACCCGATCAGTCGTTTTTAGCTCTAGCGCGTCGTTCGGTGGTTTGAGGCCATGAGAAGCTTCAATTCAAGTATTGTGACTTGTACGCATGGTCGGAATTGAAATTTCGGAAGTTCAGAGTTGATTTGGAAAGAAAATTCTCATTTCGAAAGCTTTAAGTTGGAAGAATTGACTAAGATTCGATTTTAGAGTAAACGGCCTCGGAATCGGGATTTGAAGGTTCCAGCAGGTTCGTATGATAATTTCGGACTTGGGCGTATGTTCGGATCGGTATTTGGATACCCCGGGAGCATTTTGGCACCTATTGTGGAAGTTAGCATTTTGGAAGAATTCCATAATTTTGGGTTGAAGTGCATTTCAATGTTATCGATGTCCGTTTGGAATTCCGAGTCTGAGAATAGCTCCATATGGTGATTCCGGTATTGGGACCGCGACCAGAATTGGATTTGGAGGTCCGTAAGTCATTTTGGGGTCATTTGGCGAAAGTCAAAAATTTGGATAATTTTGAGAAGTTTGACCGGGAGTGGACTTTTTGATATCGAGGTTGAAATTCGATTCCGAAAGTTAGAGTAGGTCCATAATGTCAATTATGATTTTTGTGCAAAATTTGAGGTCAATCGGACGTGATTTGATAGGTTTCGGCATCGAATGTAGAAGTTGAAGTTTTAAAGTTCATTAAGCTTGGAATGGGGTGCGATTCATGAATTTGACGTTGTTTTATGTGATTTGAAGGCTCGACTAAGTTCGTAACGTGTTTTGGGATGTGTTGGTATAATTGGTTAAGGTCCCGAGGGCCTCTGGTGGATTCCGGAAGGTTAACAGATCGATTTTTTTGGACTTAAGAATTTCTGAAGCTTAATGCTTCTAGTGTAATCGCACCTGCATGACTTTGGCCGCAGGTGCGAGATCGCGGGTGCGGAGAATTTGCTCGCAGAAGCGAGAAAGGACGGGAGCTGGGGGAGCCACAGAAGCAGACTGGAGGAGAGCACCTGCGAGTGCGTGACTTTGGCCGCAGGTGCGAGATCGTGGGTGCGGAGGATTTGCTTGCATAAGCGAGAAAGGACTGGAGCTGGGGGAGCCGCAGAAGCGGACTGGAGGAGAGCACCTGCGAGTATGCAGGCGCGAAGCTGCGACCGCCGGTGCGTAAATTGTGCAGATGTGCAGACCGGGTCGCACCTGCGTATATTAATGGGTTTGCATAATTATTGGCTAGTTTTGGAGCGTTGTGCTTCGATTGAAGTTGTTTGAAGGGCTCGGAAGTCGGTTATGGAACTACGGAGCGAGGTAAGTCTTTTTTCTAACCTTGTAAGGGGGAATTAACCCCATAGGTGAACTAAATTATTGTGTGCTTCTATTTGTGGGGGCTACGTACGCACGAGGTGACAAGAGTCCGTACGTAGCTACTAGTTATGCCTACGTCTGGGTAGTTTTAAGCTCACATCATGCCTTGTTGATATTGTTATTGATTTATGTTTATTGTTTGCCTTGAGAGGGAGCGAGATTGAGTCTTTTTACTAAATGTTTTGAAAGGAGTTGAAATTGAAGAACTTAAGATTTAAAAGATTTCATTTGAACTTCGTAATTTCGAAAAGAATTGAGGAATAATATAAAAGCTGAAGAAATCTATGTGTAAACGCGTCGCATGTATGTTTCGCGAGCGGGGTAATTTCCTTAAAAAGCTACAAGCTGAATTTCCCTTATTTTGAAAAAAATCAAGAAAGAGATATGATTTTAATGTTAAATTTATGTTTGACCGCGTCGCACGTACGATTCGCGAGCAGGGTATTTCCTACTACTCTCATGGGAGCGGGTCATTCGCCTCGGCAGATTAAATAGATGCATCTATGGTTCGCGCCATTCGACCCTCTGGCAGTGCACAGTTTAAATATTTGTTGGATCGGGCCGTACGACCTCGGCCTGATTTGCGCATGCTTGTATTGCTTGCCTTGAAATTTATAAATAATGATATTGCCTCCCTGGTCTGAGATAAATTGATAAATGATAAAATGTGAATTTGGAAACCTCTTATTAACAAAGGAATTGTTTACCTGATTCATGATTTTCTTGAGTTTACTACTGTTTTTAATAAATCCACGACTAATTATATTATTGATGGCCACAGTAAGTGTCGAAGTCGACCCCTCGTCACTACTTCTTCGAGATTAGACGGGATACTTACTAGGTACGTGTTAATTTACGTACTCATACTACACTTGCTGCACGTTTTGTGCAGGTACATATATGACTTGTGACCTTGTGGGTGCAGAGGCACGGTTATTACGGGGAATTAGGTGAGCTGCATCTTATGTACGACCCACAACCAACAGAGTCTCATTCAGAGTATTGTATTTTCTTTCTTGGCCAAATTTGAATTACGTACAGTTATTGTATTTTATTTTAAATTCCTAGAAAATGCTCATGCGCTGGTGACACCGGGTTCTGGGATGATTATGGGATGTTCAGTATTGAAATTGGAAAACATTGTTATTATTCTGTAAATTCATCTTTTACTAGATAAATTGAAGTAAATTTACGATTTCAAAAATATTAAAATGAGAATTTAATTAACTATTTAGTGTTCTTGCCTGACAGTGGTGTCTGGCGCCATCGCGACCTTTAACGGATTTTGGGTCATGATCACATAACACATAATCTAGGGTTTCATACCCTCAAGACCAAATTTAGAACTTTTACTTACCTCAATCCGAGCAATTCTTTATTCCAATAAGCCTTTGCCTCGCGAATCAGCCTTTGAACGCCTCGAATCTAGTCACAATTAATTTGATTCAATCAATTCAAATTTTAGGAATTAATGCCATATGAAAATACAAATTTTCCAACAAAAATCCGAAATTGCACTCAAAATCGCCCGTGGGGACCATGTCTTGAAACCCGACAAAAATTACTAACTATGAACGTCCATCCAACCACGAGTCCAACCATACAAATTTAACCAAATTCCGACATCAACTCGACCCTCAAATCTTCAATTAAAGTCTTTGAAGATTTCTACCATTTTCAACCCAATCTTTACCCATTTGAACTCAACAATATTTCCACAAACCTTATTGTTACGTGCATGTATAAATAATACTCTTACACCCAAGAATCATACTTTTAATCCCCCATCATTTACTCTAAACTCGAAATTGAAGAATTGGGGAAAGAAATTCTTACCTCTTTGAAGCCCTAGCAAGATTCTTGTGAAATCTTCAAGCCTTGAGCAAGAATTGATGAACAATTGACTAGGTATTCACTTTCTCTCTCTAAGATGCTCTCACCACTCTCTAAAATATCATATTTTTGCTCTAAAAGAGTCCCTTTGCCTCAATATGTCGAAATAGAGTCAGGTCAAAAATTAGAAAAATTGAAGCCCCGACACAGCATAATGCTTCTGTGATCTGCAGAATTGGCCGCACAATTTCCCTCTGGAACTGGGCGAAACTGACTCAGTATGCGGTCATTATGTGGCCCGCAGACCTTATCTGCGGTCGCATAATGCACCGCAGAACTGGTCTACGGTTGCATAATGCGCCGCAAACCTGATCTCCAAACTTGCCTCAACTGCTTCACTCTGCGGCCATTATGCGTTCCGCAGAGTGATTCTGTGGCCGCATAGTGGGCCGCAGAAATGTATTTTCCTGTCCGAAATTTTCTTTTACTCACCAATACATTGTTCAACCCAAAAGTCGGAGTCGCGGCGAGCAAGCTCGCCACGAAGAATTTCTAAAAATCCTCAAACATATAAGCCTACTTCGACACCACAAAACCTTAATTAATTTTCTTAGAAAGTATTTTCCGAGGTCGTTACATATAAGTCAACATCCGGTCAACCTTTTCAACTTAAGTTCTAAATCTTGGAACTAAGTGTTCCAAATCATTCCAAAACCTCACCTGGCCCGAACCAATTACCCTGGCAAGTCAAATAACAATCGTAAATCACAATTTGAGCAGTAAATGGGGAGACAGAGTTGTAATACTCGAAACGACCGGCCGAGTCGTTACAGGTACTTGTCCTCATGCAACGTTTTTTCCTTTATAAGAGCCGAAATTTACTTTTTCATTTTCAGCTTCTACCTCCTTTATATTTTTTATTTCAGATTTCAAAGGGGGCTGCATAACAGAATGATCAGCCAAGTGAGCAACATGCTTAACAATTTCAAGAGGAGAAACATAAACTCCCTGATGCACACTTGAATATAAAATAATCTTTTTATCAGAATCATTTTTCTCCATATCAGTAGCAACAGAGTGTTCAACAGGGTCATGATCAACTGAATAATTTGTCTCAATATCAACAGAAGCAGTGGTGTTAGTAGGAACATGATCCGCTGCATTAGCACATGATTAACTTGACTGAGTCAAAAGATTAAAGTTAGGGCACGAATCCACAGATTTCCTCTTTCTTTTTCTATTATACGACAATGTTCGCTTCTGCAAAAAAAGCAAAAAA